ACAACATAGAAAACTTAAGACTGAGCAATCTGTGATTAGTGGTCCAAAACATTCTATTGAAATTTCAGTCGATGTCATAAACAGGTTCACCATTTATTATCCAGAAACCTTTAAAAGTTGATTTTTGTCAACCATCAAGTACTATAAATCTGCAAGTGTAAAGTTGAAAATGAAGAAAATCAAAATTAAACTAATTTAATTAAGTGGTCCAAAACATTCCAGTAAAATTCAATCAATTTCAAAAAGGGTCTTTCCATGTATTATCTGGAATCCCCAAAATTTTGAATTTTATTAACACTCAAGTACCATTACTCTTGATTGGTAAAAGTGAAAACGACGAAAATCGAATTTATGTCTTATGTGGTCCTAAACATTCCATTAAAGTTTCAACCGATTTGAAAAGGGGGTTTTCTACTTATTATCCCGAAACCCCAAAATTTTCAATTTTCCAACAACTACTTTCATATTTGTTCATGCATCATGATGGCTAAATCTTTTGATTTTGGGTTTGAGCGTTCAAGAGGTTATTCAAGATAAGCGTTTCTTGTATCAAATTGATAAGTGATTTGTTTTTCTTTTTCTAGCAATGGGGTGATACCACTGCTTTTGGTTTGCTAGTGCCGAAGGTATCATCAGTTCAGTAGTCAGTGCTTTGGTAATGGCAAGATTTATAACATACCTTCCGTTAATAGATTTAGAAATTGCTAGATTAATTTGAGGTCCCAACTCCCTTAGACAAAGTTGACCTTGACAACTCTTTTTAGGTCCCTTTGTGTCGTGTAGCTCCTCACGTATACAAGAACTTGTACATCCTTGGCTTTCAACTTTTTTAAAGTGACCACTACTTATGAAGCTAAGTCCAGGAACCAGCTTCGGATGCAGCAAATTCGTATGGTGTGATTTTAATTGTCATGGTTGTTTATAAATGTGTTTTGTCTTGACATGAAAGAAGCAACTTCCACCAATCTGATACGGTATGCTGTCCAGTCGTTAATTATGATATCAGATTGTAACAGAAATTACACGACTATTGTCACTAGTCAGAGCATATCACGAAGTTTAATTGAGTTTTTGTTGCTGAATCCTTACGTTGTTTTTAGTATTTTGAGGGTCGTTATCTGACATTCTATTGATTCTTATTAAGGTGCTTTCGGTCCTTCATCGACTTGCGGATTCGATTGGCTCGTTACTTTTTCCTTTTGATAGAAACGAGGAAACATTATGTTTCCAGCTGTATTCCTTTCGATGTCTCTACATTATAACCTTTTTTAAATGTCTAACTTCCTTTAACATTTTGATATAAGTTTACCTCATCATAATCTTGGCCGAGTTCACATGTCAGATAAACAGGAATGAAGAGGATGTGTGAGCCTATGATAGGTTGATAATATTTAGTTGCTTAACCTTTCGTGTGACCATACGAAACATTTATTAGTAACAATCCTTTAATGAATTCAATGTAAAAAGGATAAGGAAACAAACATTTTAAGGAAGGATTTGAACAATTAACCAATACTCATTCATTTCTACTGAATAGTGTCTTCGTTTCTTATTGGTTAACATAGATAAATTGTTGATATAAGTTAGACAATCAGGTCAAATTGCTTTAGACTTAAATACTTGAAACAAGAATAATATTTTCAAATCAGATTTACGAAATATTGTAAATGCCAGATGTACATTATTTTACCGTGCACTTACTGCTGGACGAAGAATAGTAGTCGATGATGCACTTAACATAACCAGTGAGTTCAGGAAATATGCTGCCAGTACTGAATATTGTTTCTAGACATAAAACTCGAATTTGACTTCAGCTGTCATTACCAGTATAATATAACAAACACGACGCTCGTATGGTGTATACTTTACTAAAATTATACGATAACTTGAAGCTGCGATCCATACTTTGTAGACGATATCGGTGTCTGAGCAAAATATTAATGAACCAGGATTTTGTCAAGAAACATCTCGTTCTTTTCTCAAATAGTACATCGGAAAGAACCAAGACATACTAGATAAATATTCAGTGTCTACTTCACAAATATACTAGGTGTTCTTCAGTTAGATTCTGGGTGCTGTCGTTGTCGTTGTTCTTTTTGGTCCTATGACTCGGTATTTGTGCATCCAGCTATCGGGTTTTTTGCTTTGAGCGTTTCTGGTGCAGGTGAGGCCATATGTGCAATTCGGGCGCAAGAGGTTAATACATTGTTGTACTGATTTTGTTTACCCTTGTATTTATATTTTACCTAATTCGTACTTTATCCGGAAACATGTATACTAGTACGGCATTGTACATACCTTATTAGAGTTATTGCCATATAATGACGATTTTTACCATTTTATCTCATATCTTAAAAATTATATTAGATAGATAGAAATTTTAAATAGCAAAAATGATCAGCAAGACAAGATCTACAAATAAGTCAGAACATGTCTGAAATTGTTAGTCGACTCCTTATTGAAGTTATTGCCCTTTAATTATGATTTTTCCAATTTTGCCTATTATCTTGAAAATGGTAATAGATAGATATAGACTTTAAAAAGCACTTATAATCAGCAAGACAAGATCCACAAATAAGCCATAAGCAGTCGACTCGTTATTGGAGTTATTTCCCTTTAATGATAATTTTTTACATTTTTTTTGTAATTTTTTCCCATTATCTTGAAAACTATAAAACATAAATAGAAACTTTAAAAAGGAATAATTATCAGCAGGATAAGATCTACAAATATGTCAACATGACTGAACTTATCAGTTAACTCTTTATAGAGTTATACCCCTTTAATGATGATTTTTACTAAAAATTAACTATTGTTGAAGATGCAGGTGAGAGACATCTGCCTGTAGTTCAGATTAATTTTGAGCGTCTTACAAACATCAGAGAGAACTTAAACACTGACAACATAAAATTGGTATAGAATATATTTTACGTGATACTATTCGAAAAAGGGTTTACAAAACTAATGTAACCAGAGTTATCTAAAAGTTATGAAATATTTGATTTAGTCTAAACCGAATGCTAACTATTAAGAATTGAAACTAGCTGGGAGTTTTAAAAAGATCGCAAAGCGGATTTTTTATTAACGATTCCTGTTATAATATGATTTGAATATGAATAAAAGAAAATGTTCAGTGTTTTGGGCTCATTTTTCTAGTTGAGATTTAGATATACAATAAATGTTAAAATTCTGCATTTAAAATATTATAAAACAAATCAAGTGGCTACGTACTTTGGTTTGAATGAATGTGACAGATTTTATAGTTACCTATCGACCTCTGGTTCGAGAGATTCCTTAACAGCTGTACGCCACAATTATGTAAGAAAGTATGCCAAAATCAAATTAGGCAGACATGCGTTCTGAAATATATATATGCTTCAACTCATTTCATACTTAATTATTAACATTTCAAGATTGCTAACGCATTTTTGCATGTATGACACTATGATTTAACTCAATGAAACATTATGATGATTAAAGATTTTATATAGATAAGAGTTCTCAGAAGTCTTAATTCCTATTTTACATCATAACGCAATGCATAGACGTTATAATTTACATGAATGGAGATTCTTTGATTACTTGTTTGTACTCTGTGTGCTTTGATATAGTAAATAGAATATTTTTCAATCCAATTCTTGTTACTAAAGAAAAAGTGCATTATTCTAAGGACATACTATTTTTGAATGTTTAAAATGTAAAATGAAATATACTTCGATACATGTCAATTATTTTTCAACTAAGGATTTGGGTTTGATAAGGTCCCGATTATGGTCCCTTAATTTAGTTAAAACTTTAAATAAGAATGAAAAGACAATCATTACAATGTATGAAAGTTAATACAATGACCAGACAAAAGTGTTCTCTTTATATCATAATTAGCACAAAATGTATCCACTAAATTCGATGCAAACACTTCAAATTTCCATTGACTTTTAGGACCGGAATTACGCATAGTTCGACGAATAAGATATTTTGACTTTACGTTTGTTATAACAACTAATCTATCTAACTTTAATTAGTACACATGTTTGTTAAGGGGCCAGCGGGATTTTCTCGCTGTGTTGAACACCCATTGGTGGCCTTCGGCTATTTTCTGCTCTTTGGTCGGGTTATTGTCTCTTTGACACATTTCCCCATTTCCATTATCAATTTTATTAATGTCCAGTCCTAAATGTGATAGAAAACCACTAGATTTTGTTGACTTTCACTAAAATCTCTTATCTATTGTAAAAATATCGGATTTAAATATGTCAACAATGTAAAAGAAAGGCTCGACAAACGCAAACGATTATAGTTGCTTACGTCCACGTCCTTTGGTCTCTATGGATACTTGTCTTATTGTCTCATTGGCAATCATATCACATCTCCTAGGCTTATTTAAAATTGAGAATGGAAATGGGGAATATGTCAAAGAGACAACAACCCGACCAAAGAGCAGACAACAGCCGATGGCCACCAATGGGTCTTCAACGGAGCGAGAAAATCCAGCACCCGGATGTGGTCCTTAGCTGGCCCCTAAATAAAATTGTGTACTAGTTCAGTGAAAATGGACGTCAGACTAAACTCCAAAACATATAAATGAACTAAAATTAAAAAAAAACATACAAGACTAACAAAGGCCAGAAGCTCCTGACTTGGGACAGGCGCAAACATGCGGCGGGGTTAAACATGTTTTGTGAGATCTCAACCCTCCCCCTATACCTCTAGCCAATATAGAATAAAGAAACACATAGCATTACGCACATATTATTGTGTTTTACCAGAACAGATTAAAGTTACACTAATTGTCAACATACCTTTAATAAGAAGACGCGTGTTTATGGTTTTATTTTTGCATTTTTTCTCTATTTTATTCAGATTTATATTACATTTAACAACGTCACAAAGATTTTCCCACAACCTGATTGGTTGATTAATTCAAATAGAATTGCAAAACAATAACAAAACCAATATTTAGCAGATAATAACTTGCCAATAGTTTTGTCCCACTGTGCTCCAATCAGTTCGATTTGAATCAATGTATATTTGATTTGGTAAGCAGTGTAGGGATTTGACACTACTTTCAACATCTGTTTAGTATAATTCTACAACGTGAAAGTCAATCATGTAAAACCGCAACATATATCAAATATGGAATGACAAAAGTATACAGAATTAACTTTAAGGTAAGTCTCCTGATAATTCCCTATTTTATATCAATTGTGAAATATGATATTCATATTTGCCTGCTTTTACTTTTACATTGTGGAAGCACCTGTTGTTATTTGATGAATGTTAATTATTATTTTTTTTAAGTTAGTTTAACTGACTCATTGCCAGAATAATAATGAAATACATGCTAAAATGCATGAAATTTACAGTATACAAGTCGTTTTTTACGGAAATCTATATCTATTTTTAATAGATCTATTCTGTTATTATAAAATTATTCCAATATCATATTTCGAGAATATAGGTCACTCAAATGCTGACAAATTTGTCCAGATAAAAATGTTATCAGCACGTTTTAAATTATTCGACTGAGTATGCCTTTACACTCGTAACGTTATGAAACGGGTTTATCATACATTTAGAAACTTTTCAGCGTTGATTTCATTGGAATTATAAAGGATATAAACATTGTCACCATAGCTATGAATTGCAACAATATTAGGGGTAAGTAAAATAAGCAACGAAAACAAAGCCTGTTCGTATGCGGGTTATAACTAACCTAACCACGATTAACGAAATCTCTTTTGGGCATGATTTTGGTTTTTAAGGGTTGTTTTTACAAAACTGACCAGCAACATCACTATCTTCCATATGAAATATGTATCTTATGAATATTTTTCATAAGAAATATACATGTCTTAATTACTTTATATAGAGTCGAAGTTATTTTCATAGGATTTAACATTGGCTATGTCTTTGCTCGCGCATAGTAAAAACACATCTCAAGATCGTCAAGTTTTGATTACACTAAATCTAGTCAAGATTCAGAGATGAGCATACCAAAGGGCTTCGATTTTTTTTAATTATTGTTCTTAGTAAAAATGTATGTATTCAATTAAAGCATTACATTTACTATAATTGTAAAATAACTATATAATAAAGGTATCCATGTCCGCGAATGTTGCCAATAAGCTTGCAATAAACTTGTTGATAAAAAGACGTATAATTACTACTGAATACAAATGGTCGTATTCGATAACACGCTTTGGCCATTTTGTTAATGTTGTTTTAAATAAACAATAACTTATCTTACTGAAACAAACGATATCAGCAATACAATGTTTTGGAATCTGATCGTTAAGATTGTTAACCTTGCTGAAAGATTTTGTTTGCATAAACACATTTTATGCAAAACTGCAAAAAAAAAATTGGTACGTCACAAACTATTCAGTATTTGTAAGTTTACCCAAGAAAATCTGGAAAATTATTTAAAGAATATATACTACTAGTAATTGAAGAAGAACTACAGGGCCCGTATGCATAAAGCTACTTAATTTAAGATATCCAATCGTAATACTAATTTATCGTAGGACATGTAGAAAAATCCGTCCGTTCGGAACAAATCTTAACTAATGTAGCTTTATGCATACGGACCCAGTACTCTAATTGTAAATTGATACATGCTAGAAAAATCTTCAAAGGAAATCTAGCTATAATTATTATCTTTATGTATATTATATGTTTATTAATTTGAAAAATAGGGCCGTCAATCAAGCATGTTTTGTCTTAATAGCCATATGATGTTTTGAAGATAGTCTACAGATTCCAAAAATTTTAGTACTATTGAAAGAATATCAGAAACACGCCAAAGATGCGTGTAGAATTTAAAAAAGGATTATGTCTCATTATAGTTACAATGAAATGAGTGCTGAAGATCAACATATATAAATGCTTGAGTTATGTGTCCTATATGTATAGATAATTGTTTTTTTTCTCCACATGAATAGCGTAAAATATCAGCCGCGAGTGACTATCTGAACCTTTTTTGACGAGTGAGCGCAGCGAAAAACCTTACATTGTGTCGGCCGACAGACATTTTGCGATAACTTGTATTATTGCTCTAATTAACATAAATTTTTCATTCCCTTGTGCTATTTTTTCAAGCCAACGAAAGTTATCCTCTCACATTGTGATCTCGCTGAAAATTTCTCCACTCACATTGTGATGACGCTGATAATTTCTCTTCTCACATTGTGATGATGTTGATAAGTTCTCTAACATTGTGATTTCGCTGTTATGGTCTTCTCTAACGCCATAAGCCTTGCTGCAAGACAAAATAAAAAAAAACAAATTCGTAGGAAGTTGAGCTATATTTTCATTAATATGAATACACGAATGACCAAAGGTTATTAACAAAGTAAAGTACGAATAAAGTGAATAATGGAATAACACAAATGCATTTTAGAGAAGATTGTAGAAGACCAAAAAAAAAAAAAAATGAAACCTGCACCCAAACACCACTCAATATATATGTTTGATAATGCCTGAAGGTAACAAAAGTCTCCAAATAACCCTAAGTTTTTTATATGCCAAGGGTTATGCCGACTATTTTACGTATCTGATGTTAAAATCGTTGTGCATCTCTTTTGTTCCGTTATCAATTGTCTCAGTCGTGTATTGACCAAATACTGGCATTGCTTTTAAAGTTGTTGCTACCGTAATCCTAGACATATTCGTGCCAACTGACCAGCTTAACATGTACTATGTATAAGGAGGTCTATTTTTCAAAATTGTTCTCCCAGTAGTAGCCACTGCTTCTTTACATGCTTGACCAAAATGATAAATTGCAGGTTCAAAATTTTAGTTTAAAAGTTATGTAAATACTCTATATTAAGGCTGCAATTTCCCAATGACAATTATGTTAGGTCCTTACTTGTTTGATATTCCCAAACGTGTTATGTATGAGATTCATAAAATTTTGGCCTTCGTTTGATTAAACGTTTCTGACAAATTATAAATGCAACATGAAACACGTGGTGTGCACACTTATATTGCATATATTGTTATCCTACGTTCAGTTCGAGTCATTATTAAAAACAATTCCTAGTTTGGCTCGGAACGTTTCGGATAAAATTTATCAACAAAAGCTTTGACATCTTTGATTAAGAACGAGGACACACTAAACTTTTAGAGAATAAAATCGATGTGCGAATTGAATCAATGAATGGTAATGGTCGCATCTTAACTGGAATACTCTCGTACTACGCTGATGAAGTGTAGAAGTCATCCGGGAATCAGCCTATGATCGGTATAATATTATAAGTACGTCCATTTCCACGGCCGTAAATTAGCCTTAGGTTACAAGAGCGCAATTATTTGTTTACATTTTACCGGCAAGTTTTTTACTCAGAATAGAATCAAGTACGGCTTCTGATTGGATGATACAGAATTGGAATTACTTTTAATCGAAAGCTTATCCAATTAGGTTTAAAAAATCCAGAAAATCAAATTCACATTTTGCAAAGTATAAAAGTTCAAAATATCTTCCATTTCTGCACGTCGGGGCCATTAAAAATATGCCTTTTTCATTAAGCGACAAAATAGACGATCTTTTTCAACTGCATTTAAAGTCAATTTTTGCCGCATGCTCATATATATTTTTTTGGTTGTAATGCAACACTAACATTTCTAGTAACAGGAATTTGCTACCCGTTTTTTTCCTAGTTTGTGTAGTCTTCGAGAGAAAGACGGGAGAGGACGTCACTAATGTTGTTATAACTTGTGTCCAATCCCTTGTGCTACTTTTGCAAATAAAATATGTTTAAACTAAAATTAAACTTCGAGAGAAAAAAATACGAAACACCACTGGTACCCTATGGAAAATGCATTACGAATAATTGCGCTCTTGTAACCCTTATTTATGAAGGAAGGTAATAAGTTGTGAAGGTAGTTATCAGGCGAGGGAGACGGGCCATGAGCTGGGCATTTTATGGTGCACAAGACTTCATCCCAAGAATATGCTGTGTCTCGACTGAATAGGAGATCCAGGAATGGAAGAAAAAAACTACCCGATGAATTTTAAACTATTTATTCAATAGAAGACGAAATACTGACAAAAACAGCACTTCTAAGGCTGTCCGCTCCTCTGTTTCAAAATAACAAGCTTTTTAAAAGACTATTATAAATTGATAGAATATAAATAAAGGAACATAAAAATAAGAAAAAATGATAGGTCCGTGTCCTTTTTTTTTAGATATAATCAATTGAAAAATATGCGGGAAATGGTTGTTCTCTCTAGATTGTTCGTACATTTAATATTGGCACCGGGTTTTTTTCTCAAAAATAATGGAAAAAAACAAGAATTATATAAGTTTCTCAAAAATGGAGTTTTAAACTAAATGTTATGAAATCATGAAAAGAAAAGTAGGGGTTAACGGACAAAATTTTTATTGGCATTACATGGATAAAACTAGAGGATTCCGAATATCTGACAAAAAGTCAAATACAAGAGTAGCGAACATCCTTAAGTCCAACACAGGACGGCTTATTCATAGTAATCCAACTGTTCATTCACGTATTGACATCAGTGTTATTTTCATTTTTCGATGAGTCCTCAATTTTGCTATGAACGTTTCGAATATAGTGCTTAAAACATTTTTTCTCACAACAAGCCTTTTCCAGAAATATCTGTAATACTTAGGGTATATTTATAATGAATGTGTTTAAAAAATAAAGATTTTGACAGAAAATCTAAAATATAATTTTTCATCCCGAACAGGGTTTCAAATGAACATCTAAATATGAATTAAGATGATAAATAATTATATAATTATTTCTGATGATGGTTAAGTATCGATTTTATGTCTTATCGGTTTGCGGTTTATCTCGAATTATAAGTGTGGGCGGGTGTGATAAGAATTTTTACAATCAATAATAATATTCGTTCATTTTCATAATAATTACAATTACATCGATGTTTATAAGCTTCTTTGATTTTGATTGGCAGACAATGATCATGAGACAATCCAAACTTATGTTTCATTACCTAATCAAATGAAACATCTATAACAGCACGTTCTTTCCATGAAAAGTTACAACAATGTATTGGAAAATAAACGAGGCTTGCTTTCACTCATATTTCATGGTTAAAGCATAAAAATGTAATTATAAAAAATGAGGCTTTCTTTTTGTAATATTATAGGACCGTAAAACGTTGAAAGTCCCCGCGTTTTTC